CCCCCCCCCATGAGGCTGGAGTTGAATTTTGGTGCACTGTATTTTTTATGGGGGATAGTGTTTATGTCATAATTCTGTTTGAGAGGATAGCTTTCATCTTTCTGAAAGTTTCTTTTAATATCACAATCCTCTTTATATCTCTGTGTTGCTTTTTCATCTGGGTAAATGATCAACCACGATATTTAAGGCTGTTAACCTGTTCTATTCTTTCGTTTCTACATGTGATGTTGCATACTGGGATGCAAAGGATAATATTCTCATATGACCCTATTATGTTGCAAGTGCCGTAAAACACTTACTAAAACAAAAAGAGTATTCTAACATGTATAACATCCTTGAGTTTCTCTAATATCTTTAGCTTTCTGACCTTAATGTGAAGTTCGCCCCAAAGTTTACTCACGGCTCGAGCCTTTTCCCGCACCTGTTGCGCCTCATGCCCAACCCTAAACTTCTTGCAGGATCAATACGTGTCACGACGCGGTGGAATCAGACGCTTGTCAATTTTTAGGCATATGGAGTTATTGGTATCATCATAAAGCTTCTTCAATTGCCTTGATTTTGGTGAGAAAAAAAATGCACATTAACTTGAATAGAAGTAAAAATATTTGCGACTGGATGATCGCTTTAGGTCAGAGGTCAAATTCGTGAGCGAAAGGCTGCCAAAGTCCAATGACGTCCAAAGCTCCAGTGTCCAAAGAGAGTCAAATGTACGTCTTTCGTGTAACTGAGTGACGTTTTCCCATAAAATCCCCACTGAAATGTGATCTTAAATGGCCGTAAAAAGTGGTGAGTCCCCCAAAATACACATCATAAATTTGATAAAAGTTTCCTAACGCCCCCCCCCCCCTCATGCCGGGTTCTTCGATTACGGTACTTAAGACGCTGAAGCACACAACTTCCCCGCATAAGTTGCGGGAAATTCTACAGCTAGTATCGGTTACTTTCTGCTGGTGGCTATTTCGTTTCGAAATATGCTCACGGGAAGAAGTTTTTTTCTCGGCTGATGATCTTCATTCCATTGAAAACGAACTCTTTATTAGCCGGTAACGAAGTTATTATAATGAAACAGCTAGTAGCTTGGGATGTAACCAAGATTAATTAGAGCAAACAGTCATTTCTTCTATCCATCTCCCCAGGACACCAGGCCTGTTAGGGAATTACATGCCATTGCCTTTGATCATAACTCCAACCCATTTGTTCATTGTCTCTTGATGTCTGAATGAGTCCATCACGATTGAATGTTCTCCTCCCTTCTCTTTCTCTCTTTCTTCCTTTATCTCTCTCTCTCTCTCTCTCTCTCTCTCTCTCTC